TAAAGATGTCTGAGAAACTTTTGCGACAGAACCCAGTCCTCTGCAGAAAACATCTACAGCGTGTTCAAACCAGCACATAGGAACTTGCAGTACAGAAGAACCCAGACTGCATGGAGGAAAAAATGGTACAGGAGCACCTGACGCGGCCGACCAACCGGTGGTACAGGAGCACCTGACGCGGCCGACCAACCGGTGGTACAGGAGAGAGGAGCCCTCTTCTCTTCTGGTTATTGCTAAATGGCTGTTATTGCTGTTCTAAAGAGCAAAGCCAGTTCTAACGCTCACATTTACTCTGTGGTCTCTGTGTCGTCGCTGTCAGATTTCTCAGATGTACATGATGGCTGAGGAGTCATTATTCAAATTTCTGATAGCGATTGCAAGCGACGTGATTTAAGTCACTGAATTTGGAAGGAGGAAGGGCGTATTTCCAGGACAATCTTCAGATAATTTATTACGCAATTGTATTAAAAAGTGTATATTTACTTGTTCTTAAAAATCTAATTTTATGCCAGTTGATTTAAAAGATGATTTTAATGAAGATTTTTTTTTTCTGCCGTCTAAACATCTGCAGGAACTGCCTTTTGTAATTTACTTAATGATGTTTTGGAGTCTGTTCTCGCTATGAACAATTAGGCAGGTTTTTGGCCATATGTACACTTTTTTAAATCTACTGAAGGAAATGAGCTTTGTGTTTAAGTGGAAGGTTTACACTGTTTATCCTGATGAAAAAATAGATCTCTTTCACAGGGTTGTCTTTGGAAAGAACATTCCGGATTTTCGTCCTCAAAAATCAAAGCCGACAGCTGTGTAAATGAGATGGGTCTGCTTGAACAGCTGAGCAGGTGACGGCTGTTTTAACGACCGCTATATTTTGAGTCGGTTGGAATATTTATTTGATGTTTAGCTCTGAAGTGCGCACATTGAATTCTCTCGAACTCAGTTGGCAGCCTATGGGAATTTAGTAAAACCATCTGTTCAGCTGTATTGCCTTTCAGTCTGACCTGTCCTTTCAAAAGCTGCAGCAGTGGACTTCAACTCTGTCTCCTTATCAGATCAGATACACCCTGGTCTGACACCTCCATGTTGGCTCTGGTGTGCACAGTAATGCATCCATTTTGGCTCCGACGTGCACTGTAACGTGTTCTCTGGTTGCCGTTTTGACTGACATGCATACTGTAATGTCTCGCACAGACGCGCATTATAATCGTTATATTGCCTCCATATTGGCTTATTCAAATGTGAACCTGCTTTAATGCCTTCCTGCTGGCTCAGGTGCATACTGTAGCCTGGTCTGGTACCTCCATTTTGGCTCAGATGCGAACAGTGACTTGTTTCAATGCCTTCATTTTGGGTCTAAAAAGTACGTTGACCTCCTTTTCATCCATAGGGGCTTCACAAAACAGATGCAGCTCTATGACCTCTGCTCTGTCTGTTTGTCCATCCAGGGCTTCCCTTTTCCATATAAATTTCATGACAGGACTTGCTTGATAGAAGCTCTGTTTCACTTTAGCTTTGAGCCACTTCCTCCCGTGACTCTCATTTCCTGTCCCATCTATGGCTTTTTGAGTTTTAGGAGACTCAATGGTTTGTGAAAGTGGGGAGCTATAAATTGAAAAATTCAGGGATAATACTTTATTAGCCGTCAGAACAGATTAAGCAAATGAACATTGTAATTATGGGCTGTTTTCGGTGTAAGGAACTAAAGCAGTCATGCACTTTTATGTAAATGCTGGTTAATGTTGGGGGTTGATCTTGAAAATCTGATATTTATTAAATTGTGTAAATTTTCTTGTGTGATCCTGAAATGATGATCAGTTATCTTTTCTGGAAGGTTCCGAATTCAGCATATACAATTAAGCACCTCCTGGACCAAATTTGTGGAAGCTAATTCATGGGCTGTTTTCTTCAAACTCTGTTGAAGCCTGTTATGAGAAGGCTGTTTCCTAATTTCTACAATTTAACTGTGGCTCAAAAAATTGGCGGCATCACCTACTAGAGGTGCAAAATCTGGGGTTTGAACGTAAAAGTCCTCCCCAGTATTCTTTTCCGATCGCCTTTATTTATTTAGTTCTTTGTTTAGGGGAATTAATTGCTGAAATAAACTGGCGAAGTTTTTGCGGGAGAAATTCATGACCGTAATTAAACCCTGCTTAGCAAGTCAGGTGCTGTACCTCGTTTTACCAGTAGAGGGCATATAAAACAAATATAAATACAAGCGAAGTAGATGCGTGCTTCCAGCGTTTGCCCAGGTCTTAAATTGAATAAGACACCTGCTCCTCTGAAAAATTTCTGAATTTTTGACAGCTGTGTTAATGGTAGGGGAAGCCATTTTCTGCCAGTGCTTCTCTGCTTCTCGAAAACTGCTTTACTGCTTCAGCTATGTATCTATCACTTGCCTTATGAACAACTTCAAGTCTTCGCTTTTGCCCTCCCTAACCCTGTTCTGCCTCAATGTCACAGGTGTGGTGGTCACAGGTGGCTCACTGTCTCGGTGTGGATTCTGGCAGCCATCTTTGATTTGGGCATTTGATGTTAGCTTGACGCGGGGCATTCTGTGGCTGGTGAGATAGGGAAACGGGCAGCAGTTGTAAGGTGCTGCGTTTAAAAGCACAAAATGGCGTCCGGCCAGCTTGACCTGCCAGTGAACATGAGGCAGACAAACGGGGAACAGAAGGGCAATTCCGGCTTTGGCCGAATATGGGCCCTGTTTGCTGGGGCACAATCGCTGTGGGCTGGATAAATGCACTGAGTAAAGTTTTGAAAACACCCCGTTTTTACTTCAGTGCATACATAAGGTCTGCAAGTTCCTGGTTTCACCCAGAACATGTCTCCAACTAACACAGTAATCCAGCTTTGTGAAACTAGGCCCTGGTTTAAGATGCTTTAAGCTGTGTTTACAATAGCTGAGGGGTGTACTACAAAGAGAGGTAAGAAGGTTAGCGAGGTATATTTCGCCTAAAGCCGGAGTTTTCAATGTCACAAAGGTGGCTCGTTTAATTTGCCAACTTATCGCATCTGTGATCATGAGTTTAGGGTTTGTCGGGCTATCTCGCACAAAGAAAGCCTGGTTAATTTTGAACTTGTTTCGTAGTACACCCCTCTGGTGTATTTAGCTGATTAGTCAAAGTGGTCGACTGATTACATCGATGGGTCTGCTGAGGAACGGCTGGTTCACCAGGTGAAGATGTGGAAGGCGTGGGTTAAACCAGTTTGACCTGCTCAGGCCAGTTCAGGTGTGAGTTTTGTTTTTTTTCTAAGCTGGGAGGGCCGAAAGCTGTTATAACGTCAACTGCATTTGTTGGCTTCGGCCTGCTTGAAGCTCAGCGGCACTTCGTCAGCCCATTAAAACAGGACGGAATTGCCGGTGTCCAATCAGAGGAGGGCGTGCTCTTCCTTACAGAGTGAACACATTGTATCTGCGAGATACGGTTTGTGCACATGTTCACAGAAACGTGATCTACCTTTGCCAAATAGTAGTCGCTTTCTTTTCTTATTTTTTTGGTCATGTCTTGCTTGAGCAATGCCGTAATGTGTTCCAAACACGTGTGCCTTGTTCTGTAAAGCAGTGGTTCCCAAACTCGGTCCCGAGGCCCCCAGTTTCTGCTGAATTTATTCCAAACACAGTTACAGTCAGGATTTAAATAAGCTGTTAATTTGTCCTAATTAGGTGCGTGTCATGTTCAAAGCCATTATTTACCATTTTAAGCCACATTTTTAACAGAAAGGTCCTCATGTGCCAAGAAGAGTAGAAGACTGTTGAACATGGCATTTATTTATCTATATTGCAAACAATTTCAGGGAACAACATTTTTAATAGATGAAATTGGACACTGAGAAAATCATTAAACTCCAGACTAATTTGCTGAACGCAGTTGTTTACAGGTGACGGTCATTGGCTTGCCTGGACTATGTACCCAGGTGTCCACAGTTTCACCTGGTCGGAAGCAATCCGTTATTTACGTACATTTTTTAGCCTCTTCGTATGCAGTTGTTTCAATTGCAGTGTGCATGTTGAATATTTATTCTTCATGGCATGAAACTGTGTAAATACCTGTCAAAATGTTGCTTTAGAGGATGAATAACTACTCTAAACATGAAGGCATCTAATTAAGAAAATTAACAGCTTATTAAAATCTTAAAATAACAATTGTGGTTGGAACAGAAAGCCGCGTACACAGGTGGTGTCCCAGGACCGAGAGTTTGGGAAACACTGACGTGAGGTGATCACGTTATGTGTCTGTCTTACTGCCTCAGTAACTGTATTAAATTTTGATGGAATCGTGTAAAATAAAGAACAGTTGCATTAATTTTGTTTTTTCTCACTTCTGTAAATGGACGCATTTCTAACTGGGCCCATGTGCTAATCCAAGCTGATTATTTTGCTTTTTGCATTTTTGATTTGTGATTGGCAGATTACCCTGCCGTCGGCGCATTCACCGAGGGCGGTGGAGGAATCGCGACGCTCTGAAAAGACTGAACAGTCTTAGTATAATATTGATATTATTGTAGATACGTGTGTGTTTTGATACCATTATTTTACCAGGGTAAGTTCCATTGAAGGCAAGTTGCTCTTTTTCAAAGACGCCCCTGGGAGAAATGAAAGATGAAACAGTAGCAAGTGAGGAAGGACAGAGAGGAACAGGGGTGAGGCCCCTGTAGCAGTTTTGGGGTGAAGGGCCGTACTCAAGGGACCAACAGCTGAGGTCTTCCCAGCTTCAGCTCTCCAGATCTGGTCAGAATCCCAAACTGATCCAGCAACTCTTCGGTTTCCAGTCAAGCAGCCGAACACGAGGTTCCCCAGTCATCGCCTGATGTGTCCACACGTCCTCTACCTGCTTATCCAGATGATGTGAAGATCGGTGAGCCGATTGGTGAGTTTGTGCTTGTGAACGCACTCATGTCCTGACCTACGTTTGTTAAAAAAAATGTTCTGCTGATAAGTGAGTTCATGATTACGATGATGTTGAAAATATAAACTATAATAATATAATAATAAGGGTGGCATGGTGGCGCAGTGGTTAACGCTGCTGCCTCACAGCAAGGTTTGTGGGTTCGAATCCAGCCTGGGGCCTTTCTTTGTGGAGTTTGCATGTTCTCCCCGTGTTTGCGTGGGTTTCCTCCGGGTACTCCGGTTTCCCCCACCCACAAAAACATGCATTACAGGAACACTCTGACCAGCACCTCTGACCAAGGAACTGGCTTTAGAAAGACATGCTCTATAGGAACACTCCTACCAGTGTCCCTGACCAAGGCTCTGGCTTTAGAAAGACATGCTCTATAAGAACACTCCTACCAGTGTCCCTGACCAAGGCTCTGGCTTTAGAAAGACATGCTCTATAGGAACACTCCTACCAGTGTCCCTGACCAAGACTCTGGCTTTAGAAAGACATGCTCTATAGAAACACTCCCTACCAGTGTCCCTGACCAAGGCTCTGGCTTTAGAAAGACATGCTCTATAAACACTCCTACCAGAAACACTCCTACCAGTGTCCCTGACCAAGGCTCTGGCTTTAGAAAGACATGCTCTATAGGAACACTCCTACCAGTGTCCCTGACCAAGGCTCCTTTAGGCTTTAGAAAGACATGCTCTATAGGAACACTCCTACCAGTGTCCCTGACCAAGGCTCTGGCTTTAGAAAGACATGCTCTATAGGAACACCTGACCAAGGCTCTGGCTTTACCAACACTCCCACCAGTGTCCCTCCAAGGCTCTGGCTTTAGAAAGACATGCTCTATAGAACAGTGTCCCTGACATGCTCTATAGGAACACTCCTACCAGTGTCCCTGACCAAGGCTCTGGCTTTAGAAAGACATGCTCTATAGGAACACTCCTTCCAGTGTCCCTGACCAAGGCTCTGGCTTTAGAAAGACATGCTCTATAGGAACACTCCTTCCAGTGTCCCTGACCAAGGCTCTGGCTTTAGAAAGACATGCTCTATAGGAACACTCCTACCAGTGTCCCCTGACCAAGGCTCTGGCTTTGGAAAGACATTTGGAAACACTCCTTCCAGTGTCCCTGACCAAGGCTCTGGCTTTAGAAAGAATGCTCTATAGGAACACTCCTACCAGTGTCCCTGACCAAGGCTCTGGCTTTAGAAAGACATGCTCTATAGGAACACTCCTTCCAGTGTCCCTGATCAAGGCTCTGGCTTTGAAAGACATGCTCTATAGAACACTCCTACCAGTGTCCCTGACCAAGGCTCTGGCTTTAGAAAGACATGCTCTATAGGAACACTCCTACCAGTGTCCCTGACCAAGGCTCTGGCTTTAGAAAGACATGCTCTGTCCCTGACCAAGGAACAGACTCCTCCTACCAGTGTCCCTGACCAAGGCTCTGGCTTTAGAAAGACATGCTCTATAGGAACACTCCTGCCAGTGTCCCTGACCAAGGCTCTGGCTTTAGAAAGACATGCTCTATAGGAACACTCCTGCCAGTGTCCCTGACCAAGGCTCTGGCTTTAGAAAGACATGCTCTATAGGAACACTCCTACCAGTGTCCCTGACCAAGACTCTGGCTTTAGAACTGGAGTTGGTCCCCCGGTGCTGCTCTGTAGCTGCCCACTGCTCCTAACTATAGGATGGGTCAAATGCAGAGGACAAATTACCTCGGTTTTCAATAAAGTGTATCTTATAATTATTGAGATACGTGAAATAAAGAGAGCAGGCAGATAAAATGACCACAGTGTACTTTATTAAATTAATTTGGTACCTTGTGTTGCAATAAAATCAAATAAAAATTTACAAAACTCCCAATATGTACAAAATTGTAAGATTCTGTAGTTTCACGCTGAATATTTACAATAAAATCAAGTACCCAATTAAATGTTCTTTTAAGCACTTCAAACTTCTGTCACACAATGCAGTTCACTCAAAAGACTAGAAAATAAACAGGATTTTTTTTGCTAATTTTCTTTCTCTTTTTTTGGGTCTTTTTTTGTACATCACATATACCACACTAGATAATTCAGCACTATAGCATGTGTAGCTGCCAGTCGCTGGCACTGACCTCTATTGAACACACATCCACCGCCTTCACCATCAGGACTCAAAGTAGGAATGTTCTTTAAACATGGTCTTTTGCATACATTTATGTACAGTTATAGAATATCCCCCCACCCAGCCCATCGAAATCTTTCATTGCCAGTGTAATCGGAGAGCGCTTGTACCGTACATCAAACGTCCACACGCGGAGTGATGCCGCATACCGTCACCGGTTCCTCACAGAGCCAGGAGTAACGGTGCGGCTTCATTTGTTTATCTTTATACTGCGGTGGTCGTGGCTGAAGTTGTGCTGGTTTAGTAGTCAAACAGATATCTGCTCAATCAGGGACCGGAGAAAAGAACCGTTATTCTGCCCCAGGATAAAATCTAAAGCTCCCTCGCTGTGAGTGAGCCGGATCACCTTTGACCGCATCACACTTCCGACCACACCGTGTCCTTCAGCCACTTCGAACTTAGTCCCCATAAGCGTGCGAGCATGAGGTGATTTATTTCTGTAAAACTGAGACTGGGTCTGCCGTAGCACCTGACCTGCACTTGACTGTGAGAGATGATGACTGGTTGCATTCTCAGGCTCAGTTTACGTTTAGTCCTGGATTAAATTAAGTTTGGCATGGAGAACCTCCCATTCCGATGGAATTTAGTCAGGGACTAAGTTTAACTAGTGTCTGCAACGTGGGCCTGTGTCATTCCGTGGGACTGTCCCCCCCCCCCCAACATGCTCACAATCGCGCGCAACAAACCGGTCTAGAACACAGACTCTTGTGTTACTCGGTGCCGTTACCCAGTTCACTCTTCAACCCTACTTCCTTAAATCAGACTCTCTTACCTGGGGGGACATCATTAAATGCCACTCTGGTCAGAAAAGCAGGGTAACGCACAGCGTTTATGTCCCTACAGAGGCTGAACATATTCCACTGCCTGGAAGGAAAAAGGCCTTTTGCAGACGGTCCCTAAGAGGCCTGAGATGCTCCAGCACTGAACAGGAGTGAGAAACTGCTTCACAGGGAGAGACGCTCACAGATGTTCCCGTACATTTTAATGTGGGGCAATTCTTAAACGCGGCAGCGCTGGAAAACCACAGATCAACTCGCTTTGCACCGAAACATCATGGAGGATTCTCCAGCTCGGTTTCTTTCTCTCTCTCTCTCTCTCTCTCACACTCACTCACACTCACACACACACACACACACACAGAGCATGGAAATGATATCTTACACAGCATTAAAAAAAATTCATACGTGGAGATTCATTTTATAAGGCAGAATTGAAAACGACCAAAGTAGCTTTGACCAGGAAAGCACAGCCTCTCCACACGCCCAAAATAACGAACCGTTCGTGTTTTCAATAACAGCTTTGCTATTTTTGTTCGGTTTCGTGCTGCAGTTATCAGATAAAAGCGAAGCGACACTTCAGCCACCCCCCCCCATCGCGCTGGCGCCGGTCTGCTGTTACTGCCACACGGCAAAGCCACAATATCACGGCAGCAAAGAGCCGAGCATTTCTGTAATGATGAGACGAAAGTAGATAATATTGGTGTGACCTGAGATCTAAACAGCTGGTGAGTGGTCAGGGTCAGTGAGAAAATCTGAGATGGTTTTTAAAACTTCAGGTAAAACAAGCCAGGAAGAAACAAAATGACAGGACAGAGGCTACCATTTCTCTGTTTTCTGGTGGCCTACCTTCTTAACCTGACAAAGCATCACATTCAACAGCTGGAGCAGGGCTGCCCAACCCTGTTTCTGAAGATCCACCATCCTGTAGGTTTTCACTCCAACCCTAATTTGGCACATCTCACTCTACTAATGAGCAACTCACTCCTGAATGAGGTGAGCTTTCACTTGGAACCCTAATTTGGCACATCTCAGCTCTACTAATGAGCAACTGACTATTTTAAGCCTGGATGGTAATCTCCAGAACAGGGTTGGGCAGCCCTTTGTTGAATGAGGTGTGGTTTGAGTGAAACCTACAGGATGGTAGATTTCCAGGAACAGGGTTGGGCAGCCCTGCTCTAGCTGTTGAATGAGGTGAGCTTTGTTAGGGTTTGAGTGAAGACCTACAGGATGGTAGATTTCCAGGAACAGGGTTGGGCAGCCCTGCTCTAGCTGTTGAATGGGGTGAGCTTTGTTAGGGTTTGAGTGAAGACCTACAGGATGGTAGATCTCCAGGAACAGGGTTGGGCAGCCCTGCTCTAGCTGTTGAATGAGGTGTGCTTTGTCAGGGTTGAAGTGAAAACCTACAGGATGGTATATCTCCAGGAACAGGGTTGGGCAGCCCTGCTCTAGCTGTTGAATGAGGTGTGCTTTGCTAGGGTTTGAGTGAAGACCTACAGGATGGTAGATCTCCAGGAACAGGGTTGGGCAGCCCTGCTCTGGCTTTGAGGTGAGCTTTGTTAGGGTTGGAGTATAAACCTACAGGATGGTAGATCTCCAGGAACAGGGTTGGGCAGCCCTGCTCTAGCTGTTGAATGGGGTGAGCTTTGTTAGGGTTTGAGTATAAACCTACAGGATGGTAGATCTCCAGGAACAGGGTTGGGCAGCCCTGCTCTAGCTGTTGAATGAGGTGTGCTTTGTTGGGGTTGAAGTGAAAACCTACAGGATGGTATATCTCCAGGAACAGGGTTGGGCAGCCCTGCTCTAGCTGTTGAATGAGGTGAGCTTTGTTAGGGTTTGAGTGAAGACCTACAGGATGGTAGATCTCCAGGAACAGGGTTGGGCAGCCCTGCTCTAGCTGTAGAATGAGGTGAGCTTTGTTAGGGTTGGAGTATAAACCTACAGGATGGTAGATCTCCAGGAACAGGGTTGGGCAGCCCTGCTCTAGCTGTTGAATGAGGTGAGCTTTGTTAGGGTTTGAGTATAAACCTACAGGATGGTAGATCTCCAGGAACAGGCTTGGGCAGCCCTGCTCTAGCTGTTGAATGAGGTGAGCTTTGTTAGGGTTTGAGTGAAGACCTACAGGAAGGTAGATCTCCAGGAACAGGGTTGGGCAGCCCTGCTCTAGCTGTTGAATGAGGTGAGCTTTGTTAGGGTTTGAGTGAAGACCTACAGGATGGTAGATCTTCAGGAACAGGGT